ATGTGCCCCAGAGTCAGCCTAGACTGATGCTCCAGTAACAGAGCTTGACAGCGGCTACAGAGTATGGGGCTAAAAAGGAATGAAGACAGTGTCCCAGACAAAGGTACTGGATGGAGAGCAGAAGATGCTGTTTTTCACATAAATGGACAATTGGAGAAGACAGAAAGACACTAAAAAATGAAATGAAAATAGTAGAGATCTAGAACTTCTAACAGTATATATTTTCTGACCAACTGGAAATGAAAAGGAAGAAGTCACTAACAGAACTCCAGTCATCTCAAAAGGGCACTGAGAACAACAGAAGAATTCTGTAATTCTCCAACTGCATTTCTATGTTGTACTTGACTGGGGAGTGGGAAACTCACAATAAATCCATCTAGGGGCATAAAACAAGTCACTCAGCTCTATTCCACTAATTAATTACTCTTAAAACATGTATCAAGATAAAAAAAATTGTATGGGGATTTGGCCGTAAAATATGGACAAAGAGGCTGGGCACAGTGGCTCACACCTGTTATCTCAACACTTTGGGAGGCCGAGGTGGGCGGATCACGAGGTCAGGAGTTCAAGGCCAGCCTGAACAACATGGTGAAACTCCATCTCTACTAAAAATATAAAAATTAGCATGTCATGGTGGTGCACACCTGTAATCCCAGCTACTCGGGAGACTGAGGCAGGAGAATCGCTTGAACCCGGGAGGCAGAGGTTGCAGTGAGCCAAGATCGTACCACTGCACTCCAGCCTGGGCCACAGTGTGAGACTCTGTTGCCAAAAAAAAAAAAAAAAGTGGACAAAGATGTAATATGTCTGTAATTTCAGATTACGGTTTTATTTATGTTAAGAAGTAATGCCACATTACTACCTTCTGAAAAGAGCAAAGCATAGGTGGAGGTGGAGGATAGGATATTCGGGAACAGAGCAAAGAGATTACAGTGGTCAGCATAGGATAAAGTGGATATGACAAATCTTACAGAAATCTGCCTCTATCCACCCCTTTTCTACGAGTGCTGCCAGGGCTCACTAGGGCTTCTGGACCAACTTCTCCCTGGGTATATGCAGGTGCTTAAGGTGCAGAAGTTTGTTTCCCAACCAACTAATAAAGTTTAACATAATTACAGCTATTATTCCTTATTTTTAATGCTGCTAAAGTATAATACATATACAAATTTTTCACTCAACCAACCAAATTTAAAAGCGTCAGACTCTATATCTGCAAAACAGGTTTGAATGATAAAATTTGATATGCAGAAGAGTGATTCATTGCAAATTTGAAAATAAGATAAATATTCATCTTTTGAAAGGGAATTGATGATTTTTCCTGACTGAAAAGTTAAACAATGCTTAATCAAGTTGTAAAGTAGGGAAGTCAATGTTACCTTAGAAGTTTACACTAAAAATAATGAACCTTTTCAATATCTCTAACAAATTAATCTACAACAGAACTCTTGTACGTGGAGAATCATTCTCAGAAATCATGAAATGTCAAAATGTATTTGATAATGAATTCAGAATACTGGCCTAAGCATCTGAGTAAGATTCTTGTAAGACTCATAATCATGATAGCTAACATTCAGGTACTCATAATGAAGCACGCACTATTCTAAAAGCATTTTATCATTTAATCCTCAAAAATTTCTGAAGAAGGTACTACTATTATTTCTATCTTATAGACACAAAATGTATAAAATGATTAAGTAATAATTAATGTAAACATTCAGTTGAGTGAAATAATCAACTAACGGAACTAATGTGCTGTCATGGCATATTACTGTCTACTTCACATTTCATAGTCCTGTCTATATGCATCCATGAAAACAAGTAAGGTCATAACAATTTTGGATTTACATGCTATCAATATTGTTGATTCAAGTAGTACTTTCACTTGAGAAAGAATACTGCAAATTTTCCATATCTATAAAAGTAATTCAAAATAAAGTTGAATGTTATTTGTATTTTGCATCTTTTAGGGATACTCTGAAAGTCCTGCTAATGTGAAATATGTTAAAGAAATCTAGTCTTTTCTCTTTAACACAATGAATACCAACTTTTCTTCTCCCAATTAAGATAATGAGAAAACACTTTCAAAGAACACAAGTATAAGGAATCCTACCTACTATGACTGCTTGTCTCCATCTCTGATCATTCCTTACGGTTTCTCCATCCCCCACATCTGTGACACATTTGTTCATAAGCCAGGCATGCTTCTCTCAATAAGCTCTGCTCTATTCTCTCTTTTTCTTTGTATTTAAGTTCTGGGGTACATGTGCAGATCTTGCAGGATTGTTACACAGGTATACACATGCCATGGTAGTTTGCTGCCTCCATTCCCCCTTCACCTACATTAGGTATTTCTCCTAACGTTATCCCTCCCCAACCTCCCCACCTCCCCCCGCTTTCACTACCCTAGTCCCCTACCCCCCAACAGATCCCAGTGTGTGATGTTCCCCTCCCTGTGTCCATATGTTCTCATTGTTCAACACCCACTTATGAGTGAGAACATGTGGTGCTTGGTTTTCTGTTCTTGTGTCACTTGGCTGAGAATGATAGTTTCCAGATTCATCCATGTCCCTACAAAAGACATGAACTCATCCTTTTTTATGGCTGCACAGTATTCCATGGTGTATATGTGCCACATTTTCTTTATCCAGTCTATCCTTGATGAGCATTTAGGTTGGTTCCAAGTCTTTGCTATTGTAAACAGTGCCGCTATGAACATATGTGTACATATGTCTTTATAACAGAATGATTTATATTCCTCTGGGTATATACCCAGTAATGGGATTGCTGGGTGAAATGGAATTTCTATTTCTAGATCCTTGAGGAATCGTCACACTGTCTTCTACAATGGTTACACTAATTGACACTCCCACCAACAGTGTAAAGCATTCCTATTTCTCCACATCCTCTTCAGCATCTGTTGTTTCCAGATTTTTTAATGATCGCCATTCTAACTAGTGTGAGATGGTATCTCAATGTGGTTTTGATTTGCATTTCTCTAATGACCAGTGATGATGAGCATTTTTTTCATGTTTGTTGAAAATAAATGTCTTCTTTTAAAAAGTGCCTGTTCATATCCTTTGCCCACTTTTTGATGAGGTTGTTTATTTCTTGTAAATTTGTTTTAGTTCTTTGTAGATTCTGGATATTAGCCCTTTGTCAGATGGGTAGCTTGCAAAAATTTTTCCCATTTTTGTTGGTTACTGGTTCACTCTAATGATTGTTTCTTTTGCTGTGCAGAAGCTCTTAAGTTTAATTAGATCCCATTTGTCTATTTTGGCTTTTGTTGCCATTGCCTTGGTGTTTTAGTCTATTCTCTTAAATAACTCTAGGGGGATAAATTTTCTGTGTGTAGGGGAGGAGGAACGGCATGTAGGAAAAGAATCAGCAACAGCTAAGGCACAGAGTTCAAATGAGAAAATAAACAAGGTAGATCCAGAAAAGCTTTTAAAACTTTGCACAGAGGCTATGAACTACTAGTATCAACAGAGCAAGTGGAACCACCTAGGCAGCATTTTGCCATAAGAAACAGGCTATTTGAGAAAAAGCACTGGTGGGGTTCATCCTAAAGAAGTGCTACACACACGGATAGCCATGCTAAAACAGGATGAAACCTGGCATACTCTCCACATGCTTTCTAGTAACTTAAGACCTTTAGGATTACACCAACAATCATAGAGATGCTCATTGCTTACAGTACCACCATTAAGTACAATAATATTAATAAAACCTAAACGTGTATTAGCTCTGTATTATACCAGCAGTATGTTAAGGGCTTTACACATATTATCTTTTCTAAGTTCACCATTTTACAATGGTTACCTTTATTATCCCCATTTGACAGATGGCACGTGAGAAGTTATATAACCTCCCCACAGTCACACAGTTAATAGTAGCAGAGTTAGGATTCTAATCCACGTCAACCTAGTTGCAGAACATATCCTTCTGCTTTAACATCTAAAGGGTAAATTGTGCGTGAATCTGTGGTTGTATAATCATTACATAAAATTGGGGCAGACGCTGCTAAGCAGGCAGAGCATTCTTATGTTATACTGCTGATACAGGGACATCTGATATTAGGACTTTCAAAAATATTACTACAGTATTGGTAGTCCAGTTTCCAGAGGCTGTAATCAATACATGCCTCCCTAAAATATTCAAAGGCTTACTTTCATAGTTTGGTTTTCACCTATCCCTATAGTTAACTAGTCTAAATGACGGGGACAGCACAACACTTAAATTTATTCCAGGAGAAATGAGGAGCTGAATGCAACTGTAAAAATGACCCATTCTAAAAATGACCCATTCTCCTGCTTAAAATGACCCATACTATAACTAGTAACTGTAACTATTAGTTACTAACTAATAATGTAACAGATAAAAACTATGAGAGGATCAAAAGTAAAACATCCTAATAAGGCAGGGACTGCTAAAGATTTTTTTTTTTTTTTTTTAAGTTTTCAAACATTTCCTCCAACCCCAGGAGATGTCTGAAATACTATGAGAGCTAGGATTTGGAATTTAGTGAAATATCTTCTGACTTAGACCTTATGAAGGGACACACCCCTAATATTAAGCAGCAAAAGCAACAGAGCTGTCCCCATGTAAAAGACTCAGGATTTATCAGACGAAATTCTGACAGCCTTGTCTGTCTTCTGGCCACCTCTAGATCTGTGTAGTTTTGTGCACTAGGGGTTAGGCGAAGAGGAGACTGTGAATTACCTAAAATCGTATATATGTGAACTTTATAAAGAAAAGATCTATAGTTTCCCCCTAGATCATCAGAGAAAACTAATAACCATTAAAAACATAGCTCTAGGTAATCTAAACTTCACCCCTAACCAGAGAGCTGATTTTATATTCAGACTGCACTGCTTCTGTCTCCTCTTAGGATGGCTTTTCTTCATTTTTAGGTTCTACTTAGACTTGTGTTGAAGAGTGCAACAAAAAATAATGACATGAATAACAGTATAGAAAAATGATTGAGAGTGAGGACAACGAAGTCATTTTGCCTGTTTCCAACTCCTTTCTCCTAACTTGTGATATTGGACAAGTCACTTGACCTCAAAGCTTCAGCTTCCTAACAGGAAAATAATAGTTACTCTATAGTTATTTTAAAGAATTGAATGAGATACATAAAGCACGTAGCACTTAGCCCATAGTAAATGCCCAACTGTGTTTATTGTTCAGTACACTGTCTATATCCACCAGTGTGTTCCCCATATGAGGGTCCTGGGAAAAGTTTGATTATGTTTATTGTTCAGGATACTGTCTATATCCAGCAGTGTTCCCTATATGATGGTCGCTGGGAAAAGTGTTTCTTTCTCACTCTGTTGAAAGGAAAGGTCTATTTTCTCCTCTTGGAGATCGTAAGCCTCTTTTAACTGAGTATGTCTCCATTTTTGTCCTAGTCACTAGATAGTTTGGAGATGAATCTATAACCTAACTTCTCACACTGAGCTGCAAGACCTTCTCCTAATAATTCTTTGTGTACTAACTTTATTCCTTCCTCCTAACTTTCCCATGGCCCTGAAAGTGTCATATAATGTTGTACATTTATTGTTTTGAATTTCTCAAAATTTTATTTGGTATGAGGTAAGGTGTGTGAAAACAAGCAATTAAATTAACAAATCAATAAAAAATATAGTGCTATTTTGAACTGATAATTTGTGTTAAAAAAAAAAATAGTTACTTTCCTAATTCATGGATATATTGGCTACACAGGAGAACAACGTAATTCTTTGAACTTCTAAAAATGAGATCTGCCCTAGACCAATTTAGTCTCTCAAAGGATATCTGAGTCAAGAGACATCAGTCAAAAAACAAATCTGGTATGATTATGAGAACTTAACATGAAGAGTGATGAAGTAATGAGAGAATACAGCAAAATGCTATTCCTTTGAGGTGGGTGCTTATATGTTCTGAAAGTTAAGTAACACCTAGAATTCAGTGAGGGGCATTTCAGAGTAATGGGTTTAATTGCATCTATTCCTGGGAAAAACAAAGTTTCCATCTTTCACTGTATCAGACCCAGAGCAATGGTAGGTAGTATCCAGGCTGATTTGAAGGCCTCTTTATATTCTGACCCAGATAAATGGAAATATGCCATAGCTGTCGTGTGTTAAGCAGATGGGACACCAAAGGGGTTGAGCGGTTGGCCAAAGACAAAGGAAAAAAAAAATTCAAAATGTAAGCCAAAGCTTTGCATAGCTGCTTGACAATACAGCTTCCAAATAAACTATCTTAATTTGATTCACATGCAGAGAGTAGAAAATTAAAACAGAGCACTGAATAAAAATTAAGTTAATTTATTAAACAGATAAAATTATAAGGCAACATATATTAGTATCAGGAATATTTGCATTTCTGTGGATAGTATAATTCCATAATTATAATAAGTTATATGTTGTCTTGAGCATACGACAAATAAAATGCAAATTTTTGAGAAGCAAATGTTTTTCCAAGAAGAGTATGACCTCTAATAAATCAAGATAGAAAAGAACCCAAAAATTTTTAAGTATATTAATCTAAAAGTCCGAGGACAGCAAAATTAAAATGGAGTGTTAAGGAAATATAAAAGAGAAGAAATTAAAAACAAGGTGGAAATGATCTAAAGAAAAACATAATATAAAATGTTTCGGGATGTCTTATTTATAAAAGTTGCTTATCACAAAAATTCCATTGTGGGTGCCCAGTCTACTGAAAACTGTAAGAAGGAAAATGATATCATGTTGGATTATTCACAATAATGGAACAGATTTTAAAAATACACTGAAATCCAATTTTTTAAAGCAATAATCAAGTCTCTATTTTAAATGTTTAATTGTTCATTGTCAGAATTGAATTTTGTGTCTTTTTTCTTTTTATTGCTCTTCCAGAAGTGAATGCATTAAAAATGTCCTTTCTTCTATCTCTCCCTATGTCTTCCTTCCATTCAGTCAGAAATTACTTATGGACTAAGTGATATCCCAAGCACTGCTCTAAGTGCTGGAAATAAAATGCTAAAAAAACAAACAAAAATTCACATCCTTCTGAAGCTAATAGTCTGGTTACACGCCTTGATTCATTCACTTGTTCCATCAATTCCAATATTTCTCTTAATTGTGTGCCTTCAAGGAACAGAGAACTTGAAGAAACACTGTAGGAATTAGAGAAACAGAATTTAATAGCAACATTAATATTAAAATTACGTAGGAAAATTAAAATCTCAAAGAAGTTATTTAAAGGAGAACACAACATGTAGAAGAGATATGGGTCAGTTTCAGGTCAGGGCCCACCTGTAGAAATGTATCTAGGCTAAATGTATAACTTTTTATGTGTTTCTGTATGTTTGAGTGTATTACACTCCCTTTCTATAAAACTTGTCATATCACATTATATTTTACAGTGTACATTTTTCTCTCCCATAGTACACTGTGAACTCTTTGAGAACAGAGTCTAACTGTTCCTTACAAATAAGCTCAAATAATTTTATTGAATTGATGACATTTAATTTTAGGAAGAAAATTATCTAAAATATTATGTTTTAATCATTAAACAAGAAAAATAACAAACTTGCTTTGATTTTCAACAAAACTGAGAAACATTAGGTACATAGCCAAGAAAGTAGTATATTATTAAAATTTCATAAATAGTGAGCAATTCCAGCTGAATGGTTACCGAAAGAAAGACAGCTTCCACATGTTGATTACACTATTACTCTGAAACTTTCTGACATCCAGCACTAGTGGGTTTGTTACGTTTAGAGCTATAAAATAAAATGACAGGCTGGCCACAGTGGCTCACACCTATAACCCCAGCACTGTGGGAGGCCAAAGTGGGCAGATCATGAAGTCAAAAGATCGAAACCATCCTGGCCAACATGGAGAAACCCGTCTCTATTAAAAATACAAAAAAATAGTTGGGCGTGGTGGCGCGTGCCTGTAGTTCCAGTTCTCCTGCCTCGGGAGGCTGATGCAGGACAATCACTTGAACCCAGGAGGCAGAGACTGCAGTCTGCTGAGATCACACCACTGCACTTTAGACTGGTGACAGAGTGAGACTGCCTCAAAAAATATTTAACTAAAATAAAATAAAATGACAATGCCCTTGTACTGAGTCCAAAAAAGGCAAAGAAAAAGTGCTAAAACTGTTGACCTGTTTATAATTATTCAAATGTTTAACTTCATTCTTCCTCTCCCCTCTGCCTATATTCATGCACCATCCTTAATGATACTACCATTATTTCTACCTCTCCACACCTCTTCCCTTCTCTACCAATACTTCTTTCACATTTTCCTTGCAGCCTCATTTTGTCTCTGCCACTTTACTGAAACTAAATTCTGAGAGAGATCACAATGACTCCCTGTCTGTCAAATACAACAATTATGCACATCCTTCACCTCTCTATTCCTTGAAGCCTTTTCCTCCTCTGACGCTTAGTTTTCCCGTGTCTTCTACATCTGATGTTTGTCTTTAAAAAGCTAGTTCGTGTTCCTGTGTTCTGAAGTAAATACAACAATCCCTCTGGCTTCAGACACCACATATATAATGACTCTCAGACCTAAGTTTTACTATCCAGGTATCTATCAATTGCCTGGGCTGCAATTCTACATTTCCAGCTATCAGCCAGACGTGGTTTTCCTGCAGGCAGCTAAAATGTAACATGCCAAAAACAGAATGTACTATCTTTCCCCTCATACCAGCTCTCCTCCTACCTTCTCTGTCTCACTAGGGGAGAGTCAGCATTAATACAACCATTCAAGAAAGTGGCCTCATTCATCCTTGCTCCTTCTTCTCCATCCCTCCAATACACGTGTAGCTTTCTGTCTAGAATATAATTTTGCCTCACAGATGTTACTCTCGCTTCCATTCTCAACTAAAACATTATCTCGAGGGACGATCCAAGATGGCTGTTTAGGAACAGCTCAGGATTGCAGCTCCCAGTGAAAGCACAGAGGGTGAGTGGACGCCGCGTTTTTATTGCCCACAGACTAGGAAATTCCCGGGCGGAGGTCCTCCACGGTCGCCAGCGCGGCTGTTTCGGCCAGCACAGCTGTGCCGGCCAGCGCCGCTGCTTTGCCCCACGCGGCTGCTTTGTCGGCGCCCCGGAGCCGCGATTCTCCATACAAAATACACCGGTCCGGGGGCCCTTTTGGCTGGCGATTGGAGCCACAAGAAGTCGCCCATATGCCGGTTCAAAAAGGGGACTGAGCAGAGAACCAGGACAGTAGATTCCAGGGCAAAAAAAAAAAAAAAAAAAAAGCGCCACAAACCTCAGTGCTGCTGTTTAAGCCAGCGCAGTGAGTGGCCGCAGGGGAAAACAAACAGACCCCGGCGCCTCTTCAACAGGCGACTGGAACACCAACTTAAAAAAGGCTCTGAGGCAGGGAGCCAGGCGATCAGGCTCGGCTGGCCCCACCCCCACAAAAGAACAGCAACCAGAAACTCTGGATTGACAGTTTGACAGCAAGCGCAGCTGAACCCAGGACTGTCCAGCTCTGTGGGGGAGGGGCGTCCGCCATTACCGAGGCAGCCCGCCGTTGCCAAGGCAACCCGCCATTGCTGAGGCAACCCGCCACAGCAGAGACTCCGCACCAACAGAGGCGGGCCACCATCGCCAAAGCAGTTCTAACTACACCCATATAAACAGGACCGCAGGGAAGTTCACTCGTCAGCGGGGCGGAGCCCACAGCAGCTCAGCAAAGCTGCTATAGGCCGACAGTGACTAGGCTGCCTCCTTGCTGGGCTGGGCAGGTCTGAAGGAAAAAAAGAAAAAAAAAAAAAAGAAGGCGGCAGCATAACCGAAACTCATAAATAAAGCCCTAAATCCCTGGGACAGAGCACCTGGGAACAAAAAGCAGTTTATGAGTTCTGTTGCAGCAGACCTAAAAGTACCTGCCCAGCAGCTCTGAATGAACAACAACAGAGCTCGCAGCTCACCATTTGAGCTCCTATAAAGAAGAGACCGTCTCCTCAAGCAGCTCCCTCACCCCTATATATCCAAAAAGACACCTCATAAAAGAGAGATCAGATTGACACTAGGCGGGTATCCTTCTGGGACAAAGATAGCAGAAGAAGAAAACTGGTAACAACCCTTGCTGTTCAGCAGCTGCTGCAGGTGAACCCCAGGCAAGCAGGGCCTGGAGTGAACCTCAGCAGACCTACAGCAGAGGGGCCAGACTGTCAGAAGGAAAACCAAGAAACAGAAATAACCTCATGATCAACAAACAGACCGTCAATCTGAAAGATTTGAGACCCAATCTAATCTGAAAGCCAGCAACTACAAAGTCAACAGGTGGATAAATCCTTAAAGATGGGAAGAAACCAGCACAAAAAGGATGAAAACACCCGAAACCAGAACACCTCTCCTCCTAAAAGGGATCACAACTCCTCAGCAGCAAGGGAACAACATTGGATGGAGAACGAGTGTGATGAAATGA